ACGACATCAGCTCGACGTGGCGAGGGTCTCTGGGCAAGCGCGGGGGGGTGCGCTTGCGGGTGAGGCCCTCGGAGCGTCCAACATTGTTCTTTTGTGCTTTCGATATGCCGGTGGCCTCTCGTCCGCTCCCCCCCTCCTGGAAGCAATTCTGAGGCCACTTAGGGCTTCGTGGGGGCCGTTTGGGGATCTCTTGGGGCGTTTTTGCCTGCGATATGCCTGTCGCCTCTCGTCCGCTCCCCCGCTCCTGGAGGGAATTCTGAAGCCACTGAAGGCTTCGTGGGGGCCGTTTCGGAGCCTCTTCGGCCTTCTTTTGGGCCTCCCGGGGGGGCTCTTAGGGCCCTCTCGGGCCGTCTTGGGTGCCTCTTGGGCCGTCTTGGGGCCGTCTGAGGCCCGCCTCGGCGCCTCTTGGGCTGTCTTGGGCCGTCTTGGGCCGCTCCTGGGGCCGTCTTGGGTGCCTCTTGGGCCGTCTTGGGCGCCTCCTGGGCCGTCCTGGGGCCGTCCTGGGCGTCTTGGGACCGTCTTGGGGCCCTCCTGGCCCGTCTTGGGGCTCTCTTGGGGTCCTCTTCGGCCGTCTTGGAGCGGTCGGGGGGACTTCTTGGGCCGTCTTGGAGCGTCGGGAAGCCGAAGAGGCGAGGAGGCCGAAAACATCGAAAAACACAATAGAAATCGACGATTTCTGTCGCTCGGGGCCCTCTTGGGAGGCCTCTTGGGAGGCCTCTTCGGGCGTCTTGGACGCCTCTTGGGCCGTCTGGGGCGAATCTCGGGCGTCTTGGGCCCATCTTTAAGCGTGCCGGGGCTCTCCAGGGCCGTCTTGGGGGCTTCTGGGGGCCCTCTCGACATGTCCTGGAGCCTGCCTGGGCGTCCCGGGGTGGCCCGGGGCCAGCCCGGGGCGGTTTCGGTGCATTGGGGCCTGCGCCATTCTGGCACGCACTGGGCCCTGCAATGTAGTAGAGACTAGGGCTGACCCGTGGACTCCGTCCACTTGCGGGGTGGAGGGAGTACTGCTGGAAGGCGCACCTGATGACGTTGGGCTCCTTGTTCGCCTGGCCAACGACGCTTGTCATGAGGACCCTCTCGAAACGCTCTCGGAGGCTTCATGGCCGCCGCTTGTTGTGCTGAGTGCTGCCTGCTGCTACTCGCTGCTGTTTGCTTTGTCGTTCTTCTGCTGCCGCCTGCGGTTTGACTGGTGTGGGCTGCTGCTTGCTACGGCTTGGTGCTGCTGCTAGCTTTTTGCCTGGTGCTGGATGTTGCTGCATGCTGCATGATGCTGAATGACGCTTGCGTTGTCAACGCGTGCTGCTGATGCTGCACGGCTCTTTAGTGTCTGCGAAATGCCTGTCGCCTCTCGTCCGCTCCCACCCTCCTGGAGGCAATTCTGAAACCACTTAGGGCCTCGTGGGGGCCGTTTCGGAGCCACTTGGGGTCTTCTGGGCCTCCCGGGGAGGCTCTTAGGGCCCTCTTGGGCCGTCTTGGGTGCCTCTTGGGCCGTCTTGGGGCCAGCTGAGGCCGGCTTGGGCGCCTCTTGGGCTGTCCTGGGCCGTCTCGGGCCGCTCTTGGGGCCGTCTTGGGTGCCTCTTGAGCCGTCTTGGGCGCCTCCTGGGCCGTGCTGGGGCCGTCTTGGGGAGTCGTGGGGCCGTCTTGGGGCCCTCTTGGCCCGTCTTCGGGCTCTCTTGGGGCCCTCTTCGGCCGTCTTGGAGCTGTCTGGGGGACCTCTGGGACCGTCTTGGAGCGTCGGGAAGCCGAAAAGGCGAGGAGGCCGAAAACATCGAAAAACATAGTGGAAATCATCGATTTTTGCCACTCGGGACCCTCTCTTGGGGCATCTTGGAGACCTCCGGAGCCGTCTTGGGCCAATCTTGAGCGTCTTGGGCTCATTTTTGGGCGTGCCGGGGCCCTCTGGGGCCATCTTGAAGGTCTCTTGAGGCCTTCCTTGGCGCGTCTTGGAGCGTCTCGGAGCGCGCCGGGGCCTGCTGGGGCCCGTCTTGGGGCCCTCTTGGCCCGTCTTGGGGCTCTCTTGGGGCCCTCTTCGGCCGTCTTGGAGCGGTCTGGGGGACCTCTGGGACCGTCTTGGAGCGTCGGGAAGCCGAAAAGGCGAGAAGGCCGAAAACATAGAAAAACACAATGGAAATCATAGATTTTTGCCACTCGGGGCCCTGTTGGGAGGCCTCTTGGGAAGCCTCTTGGGGCGTCTTGGAGACCTCTGGAGCCGTCTTGGGCCAATCTTGAGCGTCTTGGGCTCATTTTTGGGCGTGCCGGGGCCCTCTGGGGCCATCTTGAAGGTCTCTTGGGGCCTTCCTTGGCTCGTCTTGGAGCGTCTCGGAGCGCGCCGGGGCCTGCTGGGGCCCGTCTTGGGGCCCTCTTGGCCCGTCTTGACGCTCTCCTGGGGGCCTCTTCGGCTGTCTTGGAGCGGTCTTGGGGACCTCTGGGGCCGTCTTGGAGCCTCGGGAAGCCGAAAAGGCGAGAAGGCCAAAAACATAGAAAAACACAATGGAAATCCACGATTTCTGCCACTCGGGACCCTCTTAGGAGGCCTCTTGGGAGGCTTCTTGGGCCGTCTTGGAGGTCTCTGGAGCCGTCTTGGGCCAATCTCGAGCGTCTAAGCCCATCTTTGGGCGTGCCGGGGCCCTCCGGGGCCGTCTTGGTGGCCTCTCTGGGCCCATTTGGCGTGTCTTGGGGCCTCCCGAGGCGGCCCGGGGCGGCCCGGGGCCAGCCTGGGGCCGTAAAGGGACGAGAGATGTGCACTTGAGTGCCTGACCTTCTCGCACGCGCTTCCACCCGCCATGTAGGAGAGACTAGGGCTGACCCGTGGACTCCGTCCACGACATCTTGCCGAAATGGTTCCAGGGGGAGCGGCGGAAACGCTGCCGAAAGGCTATGCTCATGGCGGCGCGCCGCCGGCGCCTGGCTGGTGGTTGGGGCCCACACTCCGTCGCACTGGCAGGGCGTCCCGCGGGCCTGCACAGCCTGTCGGCCGAGGAAGGGGGGGCAGAGCTGTCAGAATCGGTCCCTGGGCCCTCCCACACTGTCGAAGCGCACCAGTGTTGTCTGCTGCGTCCAGCCGAGGCCGCGAGGAGCCCTCCTGAAGGCGAACTGTCTGTGCGTGAACTCGGCCTCCGCCGATTTCGTCTGGCCCGAGCCTGGGCAGAGGCTGGCATCCTCTCTGCGTCCATCGGGGCTGGAGGCGCTCTCCTGGCCGCCTCCGGGGCCGTCCTGGCCGCCTGTGGGGCCGTCATGGGGCCCTTTGGGCTCGTCTTGGGGCTTTTTGGGGGGCCTCTTCGGCCGTCTTGGAACGCCTTGGGCGGCGGTGGATCGTGTGAAAGGACAAGGCGAGCACAACAAAAACCATGCAAAAAGCAATGAACATCTAGGATTTGTCTTGCATCTCGAGCGTCTGTAGCAAATCTGGGGGCCTGTTGATCCGACTTGGGGCCCTCTGGGCCTGTCTTGGGGCTCTCGTCTGGGAGCCGTCTTGGGAACGTCTTGGGCGCTAGTGGATCGCCTGGAAGCGGAGAAGGCGAGCACCGCAAAAACCCTGTCAGAAGGAATGAACATCAATGTCCTTCTCGGAGCCCTCTGGGGAAGCTTCCCGGGAGGTCTCTCGGAACACCTTCCAGACCTCCTCTCGGGCCGGCTTGGGCCAGTCTTGGGTCAATCTTGCGCGTCTGGGGCCCCATCTGGGGACCTGTTGAGCCGACTCGGAGGCCCTCCGGGCCCGTCTTGGGGCTCTCTTGGGGGCCTCCTCGGCCGTCTTGGAGGCGTCTTGGGAACGTCTTGGGCCGTCGTGGATCGTGAGCAAACAATGACAATCCATGTTTTTCCTGCTCGGGGCCCTCTGGGGAAGCTTCCCGGGAGGTCTCGCGGAGCACCTTGGAGACCTGCCGGGCCGGCGTGCGGCTTGGGCCTCTTGGGGCTCTCTTGGTGTATCTGCGAGCCTCTCTGGGCGGCCCGGGGCGGCCCGGGGCTAGCCCCTGGGGGCCTGTTGAGCCGACTTGGAGGCCCTCTGGGCCCGTTTTCGGGCTCTCTTGGGGGCCTCTTCGGCCGTCTTGGAGGCGTCTTGGGAACGTCTTGGGCCGTCGTGGATCGTGTGGAAGCCGGAGAGACACGCGAGCACGGCAAAAAACCCTGAACAGAAAAAGAACATGCTTTTTCATGCTCGGGGCCCTCTGGGGAACCTTAACGGTAACAACCGTGCAAAAAACATAAAAAAATCAATGGTGTTTCCTGCTCGATGCCTTCTAAGGGAGCTTCCCGAGAGGTTTCACGGAGCACCTTGGAGACCTGGCGGCCCCCTCTTGGGCCCCCCGTGGCCTGGCTTGGGGTCCTCTGAGGCCCTTTGGGCGCCTCTTGGGCAATCTTGGGGCTCCCTGGGTCGTCCCGGGACGCGCTTGGAGGCCTCTTGGGCCGTCCTGGGGCGGTATTGTGGGTCTCTCCGGCCGTCGTGGAGCGTCGGCTAGCCGAGAAGGCGAGCAGGCATAATTCCTTCAAGAACCATTGAAAAATTAAGGATTGGGGCCTCTGGGGGCTTCGGAGGACTATTGGAGTCTTTAGAGCCTTGGTGGGGTCCTCTATGGGGCCTCGTTGGCCTTGTTGGGGGCCTATTGGAATCTTTTGGAGGCCTGTAGAGCCTTGGTGGGGTCCTCTAGGGGGCCTCGTGGGCCTTGTTGGGGGCCTCTAGGGGGCCTCTTGGACGCTCCTTGGAGCCTCTGATTGCCACTTCGGCGCGTCTTTGGGGGGAGGGCTCGATTTGTGACGCTCGGGGGCCAGGATCTGCGTGAGGCGTGTCGAAAAATAGCCCTCCAGGGAGGGCAAAGTGCACGACCTTTTCGCACCCGCTTCCGTCTGCCATAAAGAAGAGACGACGTTGGGCTTCGGCTCCAGATTTGCCTCCCGCACCTCGCTCAGCAGCGCCGAAACCATCGGCCATTGCTCGCTCTTCTCGCACGCGCTGGTCCCAGCGATGCAACTGCACAACACATGTATCGAACATGGCATGTATTGAATCAGCCTCCGGTAAGTAGGACATACACTTCCCTGAATAGGGACAGCGCTTGGCTGCATTTCCCGCCTTGCTCGCACATGCTGGCTGTAACCCCGTAGACATTGAAGTCAACGTTCAACTTTCTCAAACGCATGGTTCTGAGCATGCTCAGTGCCAGTTGCCACTGCCCACCCTTACCGCACGCGTTGACCACAGCGTTGTAGCTGATGACGCTGGGCTCCAGCTTCACCTTCCGCATCTCGCTCAACAGCATCAGCGCCCGCTGCCACTCCTCGCCCTTCTCGCACGCGCTGATCCCAGCGCTGTAACTGATGACGGTGGGCTCCAGCTTCACCTCCCGCATCTTGCTCAACAGCGCCAGCGCCCGATGCCACTGCTTGCCCTTCTCGCACGCGCTGACGCCAGCGCTGTAGCTGATGACGTCGGGCTCCAGCTTCACCTCCCGCATTTCGCTCAGCAGCGCCAGCGCCCGCTGCCACTGCTCGCCCTTCTCGCACGCGCTGATCCCAGCGCTGTAGCTGAGTAAAGCTGACCCGCGGACTCCGTCCACGCCATCCTGCTGGAGAGGGCCTTGCATGTCCAGCGCTTCTTGCAGCATTCGGTCGCCGCCTGCGCGGTGGGCGGCGGGCGCGAGAGCTCTTATGGCCGGAAAAAAACTCTTGGAAAAGGGAACGCCCCAGAAACCTTCGAAGGCGGGATCTGTTTCCCCGCCGTAAGAAGACTTATGGACGGAACAAAATACACACCAAAAGGAAGGTACGCCCTGGCCGTACCCTCCTGTCGCAAGACCTTTGTCTCCCGGCCGTAAGGCCGACGACGTTGGGCGACTCTCGGGCTGCCTTGGGGCCGTCTTGGGCCGTATTGGTCCGATCATAGAGCCCTCTTGGGCTCCTCATCATGGACTGTCTTTGAGGCCTGTTCGGCCGTCCAGGGTCGGTCTGGAGCGGTCTTGTAGCCATGGAAGGGCCCTGTGTTCCTCTTGGGGCCGTGAATGGGCGAGGGGTCCATGGCAAGCGGGAAGACCCGCACCGGTACGGCAACGGAAAGACTGCTTCAGGAACTTGCCCGAGATGGCTCATGGCGCGCTTCGCTCTTGGGAGCCTTGGTGTAAAGGATTGGTTACGTCACCGCTCGTTATTGGAAGCTGTGGCTTTCAGAGTGTTTGAGGTTGCGGCTCGCTCTAGGGAGCCTCGGGTTGAAGAGCTTATTGTGTCACCGTTCGCTCTTGGGAGCCTTGGCATGAAGAGCTTTTTACTGTACCGATCGCTCTTTTATTTGGCGTCTGTGCACCTTCTCAGTGGTCCTTGTAGGGGACTCGTTCTGGGTACGTTTTGGGACGTCTTGGGGCCCGTTTGGGCCGTCACGGGGCGTCTTGGAGGCCTTGGACCGTCTTGGGGCTCTCTGGGGGGCTTCCTGGGGCCCTCTTTTGGGAGCCTCTTCGGGCCCTCTTGGGGCCCTCGTGGAGCCGTCTTGGGGCCCACTCAAGCCGTTTGAGGGCCCGTCGTCGCGCCCTATTGGACCGTCTTGGAGCCCTCTTGGGGGCCGCTTGGGACGTTTTGGGGAGTTTGGGGGGCCTCTTGGCCTGTCCTGAACCGCGCAACAACGCTAAAGGCGGATATGCTAAGCATGTATGTTTCCCATCGGAATGTGACGATTTGCGCATCTTTGTCGTCCACTCGGGGCCCTCTCGGAGCGTCTTTGGGGCCTCTTGGACCGTCTTGGAGCGACCTTCTGAAGTCTTTGAGATCTCGAGGCCCGTCTCGGGAACAACTGAAGCTGTCTTGGAGCGCTCTTGGACCGTCGTGCAACCCCTCTGGGGCGCCTCTTGGGCCCTCGCGGGCGATTCGACCACGTGGTGGGGCCGTAAAGGGGCGATTTTAGCCACTTGGCGGCCTGCCCTTCTGGCACGCGCTTCTCCCCGCCATGTAGGAGAGAATAGTGTTTGCCCGTGCTTTCTGCCACTGGCGGAGATGGCCCAAGGCGGGCCCAAATGGCGTCGAAAACCTGCCCTAGCATGATAGGGCAGCAGCGCCGAGACCCAACAAAATACCACATGAAACCCCAAAGATGGCCCGAACTGATCGCCGCTAGGAGCCGGAGGTGGCCTAAAGTGAACCCAAATGGCGTCGAAGACCTGCCCCATCATGAAAAGGGCAGGGCCGAGACCCGCCAATAGACCTCTGGAGCCTGTTTCAAAAACCTCCAGAAGTTGTGGGCCCCCCCGAGGCGAGGAGATTCTGGGCCACCAGAAGAGCGAAACACGGCATGGCCTCAAGAGGCCGCGGAGGGGGCTCCAAATCGACAAACATGGCAAGGGATTGTGGGCCAAATCCGGCGGGGAGCGCCGAACAAGCATCAGAGCCCCAGGGTGCACTGGGAGCCGTTTTGGGGCCCGTCTGTGGCCGTCTTCGGCCGTCTTGGGCTGCTGTCGGTGCCGTCTTCGGCGTTTCTTGGGCCGTGATCTTGGGGCCTCTGGGGGTCGGGGGTTGTTTAAGAGCCTCTTAGCGCTTCTTGTCGGCCTCCTGGAAGCGTCCTATGGCCCTCTGGGGCTGTCTCGGGTGCCCTGTGGGCCGTGTCTGGAGGCGGTCCGAGGCCGTCTGGGGGTTGTCTGGGGCTGCCTTGGGCGTCTCTGGATCAGTCTGGGCACTGTCTGGGGGTCGTCTTGGGCCGTCCAGGGCCGCTCTTTAGACTGTCTTGGGTGCCCCGTGGGTCGCCGGGGCGCCTCAGGAACCGCAAGAACCATCCTGGGGCCATCTTGGACGCTATGAAACAGGCAAGCCTGGGAACTGCCCAAATGCTCGTTTTCCCTAGGAAGTGGGACGATTTTTCGGTATTCGGGCTCTCTAGGGGCTCGTCGGGGAGCCAACTTGGAGTGTTTGGGAAGCCTCCTGGACCGTCTTCGGCCGTCTGGGGGCCCTCTTGGGGGCCTCCTCGTACGTCTCGGAACGCTCTTGGGCCATCTTGGGGGCTCGCCGAGGCCTGCTGGGGATCGCAGGGGCCGCCGGAGGGGGCCGGTCCGCTGCCACCGATTGGCAGCTCCGCGAGCGCGGGTCCGACCATTGTAGGAGAGACTAGGGCTGACCCGTGGACGACATCTGCACGAACGGGCATGGGGTCTTCCCAGACCCCCTCGAGTAATGACAAAAATCATGACGGGAGGTTTTTCGCTATTTTCGGCCCCTGGGGGCCCCCACCGGGCCTCGGGAGCGTCAAAAAACGACTCAGGATGCAAAACCGGTCATGGGGAAAAGGTCAGGACCTCTGGGGGTCGACGTAATGAAAAAATCATGACGTCGGGGGTCTGGGTTTGGAGAACGGCGTAGGCGCCTCTTGGGCCGTCCTGGGCCGTCCTGGGCCCGAGGCCGTCTTGGGTGCCCTTGGGGCCGTCTTGGGCGCCTCCTGGGTCGTCGCGGGGCCGCCCTGGCTCCTGACCCGCCGTACTTTGGATGATTTTCCGACCTAAAATTGTATCGGAAATCGACGCCAAAGGAGCCTCAAGGGCGGAAATCGACGCTCAAAGGGGCCTCAAAAGTAGGGCGGAAATTTCCGCCCTACTTTCGAAATCGCCCAAAGTAGGGCGGATCAGGAGTCAGGGCGTCCTGGGCCGTCGTGGGACCGTCTCGGGCACTCTTGGAGCGCCTTGGGGCTCTCTTGGAGGCCTCGTGGGCCATGTTGGGACGACCTCTTAGGGTCCTGGAGCCGTGTTGGGCCGTTCTGGGGCCCAGATGAGAAGAGCCTGGAAATCCTTCAAGAAGCCATGGACTCTTCTGCCCTCCCCTCTCCTGGACAATTCTGAAGCTACTGAGAGCCTGGAGGGGGCCGTTTGGCAGTCTCTCGGGGCGTCTTTGGGGGCCAAAAGGGATTGTGTTCGATTGTGTTCGGGCGTTTTGGGTGCCTCTGGGGCCGTGTTGGGGCCGTCGGAGGCTACCGCGGGCGCCTCTTGAACCGTCTTTGGCCGTCGTCGGCCGCTCCTGGGCCAGTCTTGGGTACCTCTGGGGGCCGTCCTAAGGGCGCCTGCTGGGCCGTCGCGGGGCCGTCCTGGGCCGTCGTGGGGCCTGGGGCCGCCCTTTTGCCTCCCTGGGGCTCTCCTGGGGGTCCGCTCGGGCCGTCGGGGCGCTCTCGTGGGCGGCTCTGGGCGATCGCGGGGCCGTCCGGGGCCCTCTGCAGCCTCCGTGGGAAAGGCCCTCCGAGGCCGTCGTGGCGCGCCTCGGGGCCGCCCGGGAGCGCGCGGGGCCCCGCCAGAGGGCTCTGCTGGCATCTGAGTTTTGGTCCTTCCGGCACGCGCGTCTGCCCGCCGTGCTGGAGAGACTGGGGCTGACCCGTGGCCTCCGGCCACGACCAGCGCTCGGGCGGCTGCTCTGCGGCCCTCCGGCAGACACGCGGCTGCGCTTCGTGACCTGCGGTCTCCCACCTGCGCATCTCCTGTGCCCTCTCGCGCTTCGCCGCCGCACGATCGCCACAAACAGGTGGCTTCAATTGTGTTTGATTCGTGGATACCGAGTTCCCGCATGTGGCGTTTCCTTCCCCCCTTCGTTGCGACACGCGCTCTGCCAGCTCTGTCGGGCCTGCGATCTGCTTCGTGCCTCTCGTCTGCCCCCCTGGGGCCTCCTGGGGGCCGTTTGAGGGACTCTTGTTTTTTTGTGTTTCGGTTTCCTGGGAGCCTCTTGGGTCCCTCTTGGGCCGTCTTGTGTGCCTTTTGGGTCGTCTTGGGGCCGTCTTGGGCCGTCTTGGGCGCCTCTTGGGCTCTTCTTGGGCCGTCTTGGGGCTGTCTTGGGCCGTCGTGGGCGGCTCCTGGGGCTGTCTTGGGTGCCTCTTGGGTCGTCTTGGGCGCCGCTTGGACCGTCCTGGGGCCGCCTTGGATCGTCTTGGGGCCTTCACGGGGCTGGTCTGGCCGTCGTGGAAACGTCGGAGACGAGAAGCACAGTAGTCCCCAACATGTATGCCTTCTGTAAGGAATGTGGCGATGTTTGACTCTTGGGGCTCTCCTGGGGAGTCCTCCAGGGCCGTCTTGGGAGCCTCCTGGCCTGCCTTGGGGGCCTATGGGACCGAGGAAGAGGGTTCCTCTTGAGCAGCTCTGAATCGTCTTGGGGCCGTCCGGGGCCCTCTAGCCTCAATGGGGAGGCCCTCCGAAGCCGTCGTGGAGCGCCTCGGGGCCGCCCGGGAGCGCGCGGAGCCCCGCCAGAGGGCTCTACTGACATGTAAGTTGTCTCTTTGCGGCACGCGCTCCTGGCCGCCATGTAGGAGAGAAGATGACCGCGGGTTCCAGCTTCGCCTCCCGCAGATCGCTGAGCAACGCCAGCGCCCGCTGCCACTGCTCGCCCTTCTCGCACGCGCTGATCCCAGCGCTGTAGCTGACTAGGGCAGACCTGTGGACTCCGTCCACGACATCAGCTCGACGTGGCGAGGGGTCTCTGGGCAAGCGCGAGGGGGTGCGGCTGCAGGGCCGAA